GTTCCTCCACAATAGGAGGAGGTGGGAGTATTTATCGAGAAGTACTTTGTAGGTGTTGTATGACTAGAGTTTTCTTCATCCCTAGAAAACTTGTCCTCAAAGAATTCCACATCTATGGATTCCACAACAACACCCGAATCAATATCCAATAACCGGTAAGCCTTGCTATTTTGAGCATATCCAATGAATATACTCTTATTAGCTCGTGCTCCCAATTTGGTTCGCTTAGGATCGGGAGTCCGATAATAAGCAACACACCCCCACACTTTCAAATAGTCTAGGTTAGGCTTTCTACCTTTCCACAACTCATAAGGGCTTGTAGGAATCACACGACTAGTGATACTATTATGAACATAGCAAGCAGCCAATAGTGCTTTCCCCACAGATTGTTTGGTTGACCCGATTGGTTCAACATACAGTTGACCATCTCACAAAGAGTTCGGTTCTTTCTTTCAGCCAAACCATTCTGTTGGGGAGTGTATGGTGAAGTTCTCTCATGTTTGATTCCATTCTCTTCGCAGAATGTGTCAAACTCTTGGTTGAAATATTCTCCGCCTCTATCCGAGCGAAGAATTTTGATGTGTCTTTCAAGTTGATTTTCGACCTTGGCCTTATATCGTTTAAATGCATCAAAAGCTTCATCTTTCGATCTCAGCAAATAAACATGTAGATATCGACTGGAGTCATCACAAAATGTGATGAAATACCTTTTTCCTCCTCGAGTAAGGATTCCATTTAACTCACATATATCAGAATGAATCAACTCAAGTAATGATGTGTTTCTCTTAACTGATGGAAATGGTTTCTTAGTGAACTTTGATTTCACACATGTTTCACATTTTTCAAAATCTTTTGTGTCACATTCTAACATTCCTTTAGTTTGCATTTTCTCAATATTTTTAACATTAGTGTGAGCTAAACGTTTATGCCATAAAGAAATTGAACAAATAAAATAACCAGAAAAGTTCACTTCATTCACATTAGCAACCAATCCACTAATTACATCATTACCAATACTTGACACACTAGCAACACTAGAACTACCACTCTCAACACTAGGACCACTCATATTACCCTCATCACTAAGGCACAAGCGATACATCCCCGAACAATTGTTCTCCCTCCCAACATATTTTCGGCCTTTAGTGATCATAATCTTGCCTTTCTCAAGCACCATCTTGAACCCACCCTTGTCAAACTTGTCCGCAGAAACCAACCCCTTCGAGATAATAGGAACATGAAGAACATCTCGAAGGGTTACCAATTCACCACGTGTGAACTTCAACCGAACATCACCTCTTCCTTGAACTTCAGCTTTGTGTCCATCAGCACAGACGACGACTGTCCCATGTGGCATTGGGCGGTAAGTGTGGAAGCTCTCTCGTTGCCCACAAACATGCACAGTGGCTCCAGTGTCTACGAACCATCCTTGAGCACAGATTGCTCGAGTAAGGGAGGAGATCATGAAAATCTCTTCAAGGTTCACACTTGCCACCATGTCAGTCACCTGCTCGACTGCATGTCCAACCGGTCCTAATTTGTGATCTTTGCATTCTCTCGCATAGTGCCCAATCTCTCCGCAGACGTGGCAAGGTCCGACCCTCTTTGGCTTTGAGTTAGGATTCTGATGACCCGGTTTCTTGAAGCTTTGTTTCTTGGGTCTGAATTTCTTCTTGTTTTGTCCCCCATACTTGCCTTTGTGACTAGAACCCCCAGCTGACACATGATGCACACTCGATCCGACTTTACCACGCTTGTCCCTGATGCGAGTTTCCTCCTCAATGCGGAGGTGTTTCATCAGATCATCCAAGGAGTAGTCCTCAGACATATACATCATTCTGTTAGAGAAATCTTTCCACGAGGGTTGCAATTTTGCGATGATCGCACCAACCTGAAAGAGTTCTGGAATAGAGATGGAGAGTGCGTTCAACTTGTTGACCATGACTTGGAGTTCATGCACTTGCTCCATGATTGATTTGTCATCATCCATTTGAAACTCTACGTACTTAGACACAAGGTACTTGTTAGTACCTTCCTCATGTGCCTTGTACTTAAGTTCCAACGCATTCCATAGCTCTCTTGGATCTTTGACCGGCGCATAAAGATCATAGAGCCGATCAGATAGGGAGTTCTTGATGTGACCCACACACAGTTCCTCAGACTCTCTATGCAGAGTCCTTTGCTTTTCCAGTTCTGCGATGACCGCTGGGTCCACAGTTTTCCCCTGCTCGGGAATTGGATTATCAGGAATTAGTGCCATATTTGGGTCCAACACAAAAGAGAGCTTCAAAACATGAAGCATGAACTTGACCTTTTCGGCCCAACGGGTGTAGTTCTGACCATCGAATTGGTCAAGTTTGGCAAACTCTTGGTTCATGAAGTGGAGGCTAGCAGTAGTGTCCATTAGTTTGTTGATGTATCACAATAGATAAAAACCTTTAAGAATGTTGTAAATCAAACTAATAGACACGCAAGGAAACCGACAAATAATATTGAGAATTATATGTCGATTAGTTGCGAATAACAAATCCAACTATTATTGTTATATTTACCAAGTTTCGTCCAAAACCAGATCAATCCTTCACGATTAGATCTGGTTATAAGAAAGGAAGAAGAAGATTGTCCTGTTGTTGGACTAAATTAAATGCAAGACAGAAAAGTAAAACCGACCTGTTGATGGTTGATCTTGAACTTGAAACAACTGCACGGATCGGACTTCTGTCCTTAAAGGTTTTTACTTCGCTTCTATTGGTTGTAAGCAACAGAGTAAAACCCCAGGATTTAATGCGGATCTATCAATCTTCCAACAACACTGGAAATCGATAAACACAAAGCGAATACTCGGAAACCAGGAAAAACGCAAAGAGTGGGAGAGAGGCTTTCGATTTTTTGTGAGTAGTCAATACGGCTCCTAGGGAGCTGTATTTATAGGTATTGAAACCCTAGAAGGCATGAATACAGGCCCCCATAGGCCGGCCCCAGAAACCCTAGGGCGACGACTTGCTCTCGTTTCCTGATCCCTCTAGAATATCCTGACTTGTCCTCCACGAAGTCAACGGCGGTCAACCATTTTACCGGATCGGTCAAACCGGCTTGACCCGAACTCGTCAAAAATAAAAGCTCATCAGCTCCCAGCGACCGATGCGTCGTGCAAAGTGCGCCTAAATCGCGCACTCGCGGCGTCGGCTAGTGCTAGGCTACGCTAGGCGCGCGTGGGCTTGGCCCATTCCTTGATCCACTAAAAGCCTTTGAAGGCCTATCAAGGGATTAGGCATATAAACCCACTAAAAGTTTCTTCCCCAACCAATGTGGGATAGAGGAAACTTACCAACTTGCAATTTTCCACTATAATTTCCAACACCACATGTATAAGGCAATGTTGTTCGCTAGGATAAAAATAAAAAGGTATTTGATATAAAAATGAAGACAAAACTAAAAAAATAGTTCATGTGGTGGTCCAATTTTCGACAAACCAGTCAAGTGTAACACAGTTAAATTTTTTGACATTGTGACACTCAGCTTCCAACATTATATCTTTTAATGTTCATTCCAAGAGCAAGATAGGCAAATTCATTCCAGTACACATATAACCAAATAAGTGTTGTTCCGTAAACATCAATTTTTTGTCATACACAATAATGATTCTTTTTGGCAAATTGTAGATACCTTTTAAAGCATAAATTGTTGTGTATGTAGAAAATTATTGTGTATGAATTAAGTCTTTAATCGGATACATTACAATATGCAACACAAACAACACGTACTAATCGTTTTAGGAAACATATAATAATAGAAATAAATAAGGAAATCTTTTCATCTACATATAACCAAATATATTAACATATCCAACATATACCATAATGAAATTCAATACATATATTCTTAAACATTCTCTAAAGCTAAAACTGAAACTAACTACATATATAACAAAACCATGCATAAGCACTTTGGTCTACATGTTTTGGTTATTTGTAGCCAAAATTTCAGGTACCATGCAAGAAATGCTTGGATTGCTTAACCTTGATGTAACTACTAAGCCACCGTAAACCAAGCCTAATATTTGGGAAATCAAGAAAAGAAACTTTTGACATGACAGATTCCTTAGATTACTTTATGTTAATCAATGAAATTTTTATATTTATTATTTGGGTATTCCTAACTCGTTGTAACACCAAAATAAATAAATAAAATAACCATAAATATATGTTAATTTTGAGTATGGTACTTAGAAAAAATGGTTTTTGGGCATAAACACTACAAATTCAGAACACGTATTCCGATCTGAAAGGCAACAAATTCATCCAGAATGGTATTTAGAATGTTTTATTTCTGTATTATGTATACAGAACTATAAAAAATTACAAATAACTAAGTAAATTACAATACAATAATATGTTAATTTTGAGTATGGTACTTAAAATGGTACTAGAAAAACATAAATATATGTTAATTTTGAGTATAGTAAAAATGCTTTCTAGACACGAACGTTGCAAATTCAAAACACATATTCTGATCTGAAAGTCACCAAATTCATCCAGAATGCTATTTAAAATGTTTTATTTCTGACAAATGTATATAAAACTAGAAAAAATTACAAATAACTAAGTTAATCAATAGACAATGAATCCAAACATATCCATAATAAGACCTAACGAATTTTTTTTAGAGGAACGGTGTTAGTGATTTTTTATTTTATTTTTAACTTTGAGTATAATATAACATTTATATATATATATATATATATATATATATATATATATATATATATATATATATATTGATATAGCTTCGGTTTTTGTACTCTCTCGTAGCCCTGTCGAAAATACCCGTTACCCGAATTACCCGCCCGGTTTTTTCGGGTAATTCGGGTCGGGTAATTCGGGTATCGAGTTAATTTTTTCGGGTATTTGGGTAACCCGATTTTTTTTTCAGGTCGGGTAAAGGGTAAGTGTATTGGGTTTCGGGTATACCCGAATTACCCGAAATATATATAACAAATAATGGCCCAATATGGCAATATCCCTTTTATCCGTCTCAATTCCCAAATCACAACCCAATTTACCTCGTTCTATTATCTCTACATCAAAAAAACCCTTGTCTGCCTCTTCGTTCGTCACCGTCGATCAACTTCAGCTGTTCGTCGCCACCTCCTTGCCGGTCATCAGGTGGTCGTCGGCTCGCCGTCGCCTCGCCGGTCATCAGGTGTTCGTCGGCTCGTCGCATCGTCACTTCAGCTCGTCACCACTCCAGGAAAAAATCACGGATTTGAACTTCGAACTCAAATGTAAGTAATAACAACCAATTGATTCTCTTTTTGACGTAGAAAATTAGAAAACTAGTGCAACTTTGAATGAGGCTCTTGTCGATTTAAAGAAAAAGCAAAAGCAAAAGCATTGCTTTTATTTTACAGTTTACAATTTGTTGGGATTCATCTTGAATCTTGATTATGCTTGGCATGGCGATAGGCCCTATGTCTGTGTGTGTTTGGGAAACTAATAATATTATTTGTTTTAGCTTTCATTCGGTTATATTTGTTTTCCAAATCTGATGATACTCTTTTGTAGATAAATTGGTGGGTTTTACTATAGAATTGAGAGCTTGATCCACAATTATTGCTGAATTTTTTTTGAACTTTGCGTTGGGTGATGAGAAGTAATTCATAAAACATTATGTTTATAATATAAGAATAAGCAAATGAAATTATATTTCGAGTTGCACTGGAAAACAATTAAAATAGGTCAAATACATAACTGGACAAGGAATTCATAAACTAGAAAAGATTCACCCAAAAGAAATAATACTATTAGTTTCCCAATTTGTTCAAATGTGTACAATTTGCTTTTATTTTACAGTTTACAATTTGTTCAAATGTTTAGTATAATATATATCATAAACTAGAAAAGATTCACCCAAAAGAAAAGTTATAATTTTTTGTTGGGGTTCATCTCTTCTTTTATTTAGTTGTAGAAAAATTCAAAGGCTAAAATGAAATTTATATTTTTTTTGCAAAAATATAAAGGCTAAAATGAAATTTATCGTTTGTTTTAGTATATAAATATTTGATAATTATAAAAGGCTAAAATGGAAAGCAAAATTTTGTCATTGTAATTTGTAACTCTTTTTTTAATGAATAGAAAAAGACAATATTAGTGGACACTGTTTGCATACGTTTCTCACGCTTAAAATTTCAATTTTATAATCAGGAATCGATATATTAAACGTTACCTGCCCAACATTTGTAGTCCTTGAAATCGCCAAAAGTGATTGTTAAGGAGTCCTTTTCATGAAATATTATACATTCTCATTTCACACACGATTTTATAAATTTAAATTAAAAATACTAAAGGTCAAACAACAATACAATGTTATAACTGTGTAAAGCACATATTTTTTTTTTCAGTTTTTTGCATAGAAATATGTTATTCATCGTTTTCATTGAAATATTTTGCTAGCCTATTATTGATGAAATATGTTTTACATCAGCAGTTTATCTGTTTTTTTTCCTGTTTATAATTTTTTTTTCTGTTTTTTTTCCTTTTTTTATGTTTTTTTAACAGTTTTTCTGTTTTTTTTTCTTGTTTTAGATGTCAAAAACGGATGACTATATCGAAGTGGAAGACGAGACGATTAAAGTTGACAACCCAACCAATGATCAAGTTCCACAAGAAAAAGAGAAAAAAACTAAAGAATTCAACCCAAGATCGAAAGTTTGGAATGAATTTGAAAGGTATAAGGACGAAAAGGGTGTTCAAAGATGCAAATGTAAGCATTGTGGTGGTGGGAATTATAAGTGTGAATCGGGTGGTTATGGGACCAAAAATCTAGGTTATCATTAAAATAAATGTAAAGTTTACTTGGCTAAACTTAATGGTGGGCAAAAACAACTAACTTTCCAATATGGTGATGAAAACAAATTGTCAGCTTGGAAATTTGATCAAAATGAGAGTCGGAAAGCTCTAGCCCACATGTTGGTAGTTGACGAACTTCCTTTTAGCTTTGTAGAAGGTGCGGGCTTTAGGTATTACAATAGTGTTAATAAACCATTGTTTAAAGTTCCATGTAGAAGTACAAGCACAACGGATGTCTACCAATTGTTTGTAGAGGAAAAAGAAAAAATTCGTGACTTTATTAAAAAAAATGTTGGTAGAATATGTTTGACCACCGATACGTGGACTTCTAAACAACAATCATGTTATATGTGTCTCACCGCCCACTTTATTGATAACGAATGGAAATTAAAAAAAAAGTGTTGTGTTTTTATTCTCAAGAGAGTCACCGTGGGGTTGATATTGGGAAAATGGTTGAGAAATGTTTAACGAAGTGGGAAATAGAAAACATTTTCACAATTTCTGTTGACAATGCAAGTGCGAATGATGTGGCAATTGACTTCTTGAAAAAAAGTTTTCAAAACTCCAACAAGTGTCTTCTAAATGGGAAATGGATGCACATTCGATGTATTGCCCACATTTTAAATTTAGTGGTGCAAGATGGCATAAAAAAAGTTGATAAGGCGGTGGAGATAGTTCGATGGGCGGTTAAATGGATTAGGCAATCGCCTTCTAGAATTCATAAGTTTATCGAGTTTGCTAAGGTTGCTAATCCCGGTATAACAAAAAACTTGAAGAGAGATGTGCCAACAAGATGGAACTCCACTTACCATATGTTGGAAATTGCCCAAGCTTACGAAAAAACTTTTGAGAGATATGATCTTGAGGAATTTGATTTTCGGTATGAAATTGAAAAGGCGGGTTTGTCGATACCTTCATCAAGCGATTGGAAAAGGGTTAGGAATGTATGTCATTTTTTAAAACCTTTTCATGATGTTACTTTGAGGATTTCCGAGACACTTTATGTGACATCACACACATGCATTGAAGATATATATTCCATTCGTACGCTCTTGGATGATGCTATTTCCGATTCTAGTCTTTGTGATATTGCATTGGCCATGAAAATAAAGTTTGATAAGTATTTTGGCGACATAGAAAAAATGAATTTATTGCTCTACTTTGCTTTGATTCTTGATCCGAGGAACAAAGTAAAGTATTTGGTTATACTACTTGAGGATCGTTATGGAGAAAACGGGGTGGAGGCCAAAAAGAAATATATCATGGATTCTATGTATGAATTATATAATGATTATATTAGAATTCATTCTCCAAGTTCTACTTCAAGTACTGCCGAGTCTACTACTTCATCATCGATACTAGGGAAACGCCAAAACCCGGATTTTATGGCACCTAACCCCCCATTAAGAAATAAACTAAGAGAAAAGATGAAGACGAACATCGTTGAATCATTTGGGGAGTTAGAAAAGTATTTGCAAGAAAGTGTTGAAGACGACTCAGAAATGTTTAGTATTCTAGATTGGTGGAAAGTGAATAGTCCAAGATTCCCGGCTCTATCATTGATGGCAAGAGATGTGTTTGCCATTCCCGTCTCAACAGTGGCTTCGGAATCCGTTTTTAGCACTAGTGGGAGGGTGTTGGATCCGTTTAGGAGTTCTTTGACTCCTAAGATTGTTGAAAGTTTAATTTGTACACAAGACTGGATTCGGGGTAGCATAAGTGACACAATCGATTATGAAAAAGATTGGGAAGAAAATCAACAAATTGACAAAGGTAATTGTTTATCGTTCATTATTTTAATTATTGTAAATTTAATATATTTTCCTTTTAATACTAACGTTATTTGACTTTTTTTTATATAGAATTGAGCAAGATGAAGTAGTGAATGTGCAAGAAGAACGAGTAGGTGCAAGAAGACGAGTATATTTATGAATGTCTTTTGGAACTTGAATGTTATTATTTTCATAATATGTAGTGGATTTCTATGTTTTCTAGATTTAAGACGTGAGTTTTTTTGGTAAATGCAAAATATATGCATATACATTGATATCAAGTAATTTAAATGATTGACTTTGGTTGTTATTATTTCTTTTAAGTATTTGTTTTTTTAACATCTTATTAGATTTGATTAAATCGTTAAACGAATACTTGATATCTCAAATATTATTGAGTAAAAAATCTCAATGTTCAAAATTTGAGCACGACATACTTATTTCATTAAATTTATTTTGAGGTCCCATGTAAAAAAAAAAAAAAAAAAAAAAAAAAAAAAATCGGGTAATACCCGAATTACCCTTACCCGACCCACTACCCGAATTACCTAAACCCGAATTACCCGAATTTAGTTTGGGTAGGGTAACGGGTAAATTTTTTAATATGAATTACCCGAATTACCCAACCCGAATTACCCGAAACCCGAAAAATTTACCTGATTGACACCGCTACTCTCTCGGAAGATTAAAGTGTTTTTATTTGAAACTATATTTTTAAGTATACAACGCCTATTATCCTTTATCTTTTTGTATAAAAAAATATACATTTGTTGTTACTTTTTAATTAAACTAGATTATGACCCGCGTTTAACGCGGGGAACATAAATTAAATATATATCACATAAATAGGCCGCTTTGTCTTTGGTTGAATTTTAATAAAAAAAATGTTAGTTAGATTCATTTTTAGAGTTTTTGAACAAAACTTATTAGATAAAAATATTTAATATTTATATTAGAGCAATTTGGTTTTTTAATACAGTAATTTTTAACATAAATGATATATGTGATCTTTGTTTTATCACAACATTATGCGACTTTTTGATTAAAACATGTTGTGTAGTAGCTTTATGAATCGACTTTGTTCCGTGTACCAACCCTCATGGAGGCTCATATGGCCCTTTTCATATTGGCCTTATAAAACCAAAAACAACAATAAGTTGTTACATGTACCAACAACATTAAATTCTGTAAAGAAATTCGATAAACATTACAAATAAAGTGAATTGTCATAACCATAAACATCAAATTCAGACATTGTAATTTGGTCGATTTCAAAGTATTTTTTCCTTATAAAAATTAAAATATGATTTTTCAGGCTACACCCAATCACATATACATATCTTCCGATCAAATAAATTATTACAAAAAAAAAAAAAAACATGTTATGAACAAAAATATAATATTAGTTTCATAATTTGCTAAAGGTTAACACTAATAAATAATAATGAGCTTTCACAAATCTTGCATTTTGGTCACTACATCCAACTAACAAATGAAATTCGGTTTAGAGGATTGATTCAAGAAGTGCATCCATGACTTCTTGTAGCTGAATTTTGGGAAATGTTAAGACCTACTGAGATATGAGGGAATGGTTTGTCAGGCTACAGTTGGTTTCTATAGGGCAATACAAATTCAAAATCGTTAGCACATATCTTTCCTAACTGCTTCAATTATCAAATTTAGATCAAACTTGTCAAAATCAAATTATAAAAAAAAAAAAAACAGATATGTAACCTTACAATCAAACAACGTATTTTTCATTGAAATAAATATCATAAATCTACAATTTACACTTTTATATATTATTCTTGAATTATATATTACCTTTTCATCTTTAATTGTCACTAACACCTCTTTTTGTCTTATTGTTGTGACACGCATCTATATCGAAAATAAGAGAAAGAACTATAGAGAAGAATGTTGACAGAGTGATACTTCATTGAAAACGCAGCAAAATTCTTCATAAAGCCGTTAGGATTCTTCTATAGACCGCTAGAAGGTCTATATAGTGACAACCGGTGTGACATCCATGAGAACGCACCACTTAAAATAACAGTTTTTTTATTAATGTAAGTGAAAAAATCATTTAGAATGCTTACCAGTTGTGATAGTTTCCTCTTGGATGTGAACATTAACATTCTTGTAGAGAAATTGAACTTCAAATGAACCCTACATAGCCAAATCAACAAACATGACAGCACAAAAAAAAAAACCTAACTTGGCATATAACCAAATTTCCAACAAATTTCAAAATTTTAAGGTTTTGCTGAACAATTTTTTCAATTTATCATAATTTTATTTTATTACAACCTTATATGAGTAATCAAGAATCTAAATCAAGTGAAAGAAGTAAGTGTTCATTTAAATCCAGTAAAAAAAATTACAATATTGTGAAATTGCATATAATTTACATGTTTGCTTATTGTCTTGGAGGTACCCGACCACTTGGATATGTACTATTATTTGATTAATTAGTGCATAAATTACATTATAGAATATGAAAGTTAACGATTGTTCAAATTCATTTACACTTGATTTAACAATAGAAAATGGACAAATTTATAATCATAAAAGTATGCTTAATTCAACAAATTTGTTATCAAAATTAATAGAAAACTGAGTTTCTTGAAGAAACAAATCAAATACACAAAAACGAATAAAAAACAAAGAACATTTGAAGATCATGGACCAATAAGATCTTTTTGACACTTTTCAATATAGACATGGTTAATCTTTTCTCATCTTCAGGATGATAAGTACAAGTGAGTAGAGAAAATAAATTTGTAATCATAAAAATATGCTTAATTCAAAAAATTTGTTATCAAAGTTAATGGAAAATATTTTTGTCGAAATAATCAATTATTAAGTATGTAGGATATTACCACTAAGGGATTTTGAGTTTTGCATCATCCTCAAGCTTCAATAAACATCAACTAATGCTCATTACTTTCAAGTAAAAATCTCTGCAATTTAAACTTAATTATAGTAAATCTAATCAATAACGTTATAGAAAAAGGTAAATTTAAGAATAATTACATAAAGTTATTGAGTTAGATAGTTGGAAATCGAGCAATTGTAATTTAACATGTATGAGACCGATTATTATCTTCAAAATTGGAAGTATTTATTATATTAATAAGAATTAAATACAAGGTGACTGTTTTGTCCTTGATGAATTTTGGTACCATCGATGTACACTGAGAAAGAAATAGAATAATTAAGAAGATATACCATGTTGATTTGCAAACATATAGGATGGTCAGTGCATAAGTTATAGCTTTAAATTTGGGGAGGATTTGAATTTATTTTAGGGATAACAGAAATTGGTGAAGGTTTGAGCGAAAACATTGATGGACAACGTGTTTGACCAAACATTGGTCAAGATGACGTAAACAATTTGATCTAAGGGTGCAAAAGGTATAAGTGAAACACAATCAAAAATATTTATTGCTTTAGATGATGAAATAAAGTTTCTCTTTTAGACATAGAATTCAATCTTCTATTTTGTAAATGTAAATGTCTTACACTTGGGTTGTGGTGACTTAGTAAGACATGTGGAAGATATGGTGGATAACCTATTGACCCATGTTCAAATTCTGGCACTACTCAGCCTATGTGGCCATGGAGGTTCTCCTGCAGTGACTCCAGGACATAAGACATAGCCACATGTTTGCAACGGGGGATTAGTCGGTACGCGAAAGCTGGCCCGGAAACCCTCGTTAGGGAAGTCCCCTTTCAAAAAAAAATGTAAACGTCTTAGTCTTCGCCTCTCTTTAGCGTCATTGTAATGAGTTTTATTATTTAAATTTGTAAAATTGTGGATATCATTAATATCTAAAAAATAATAATATTTCAATGGTAAATGTTTACTAATAATTTTATCAATAAATTCACAAGGAACTATAAATAATTATTTTAGAACGGTTAAAAGATTTATAAAAGTTTATAATTTCATAAATAGTTGTAGTTTGCTAATATTTATATTGAAGTTGTAATGAAAAACATTGTAACAAGGCTGACAAACTCACATTCAAACGGAATAATAGAGTAAAAAATGATTAAAATTCTAAATTCATATGAGTTTAAACCCAAAAGGCAAATAGATGAATAATTCAACATTTCATAAAACCAAAAATGTATTTAAATGATTAACATTCTAACCCAAAAAACAAATAGTATGAAACAAAGTAATCAAAAACCAAACTCACAAACCAAATAGTATGTAAACATAATATGAAATCAACCGTACTCAAATCACCCAACTACTCATATAAAATCATGAAAATCATATATTATTTTTCTTTCTTTGGAATTAACAAATTTGGCTTGCCTTCTCCAGAAGTACGATCTGTCATTGATGTTAATGATCGTTTGGTTTAGGACATTGTTTTTAGATTATCAACATCGTAAACATCTTCCAAGTTGTGTTTTAATTCTTCATGTCTAGACATTTTTTTAAAGGATGTCCACTTAGTTAGTGGACTTGTTGCAATACATTTATCAATATTCGAAGCGGGTGTGACAGTTATCACCAGTAAACGAAACTCCATCCTAAATATAAAAAATAAATTCATATGTCAATCTAAAAGTTAATAATATTTTAAAGTATTTAAACTATTAGATTTAGTTATATTATATTAAAAACCTTTAAATTTAATGTGTCTTGACATCTGAATTTCGCCGATAAAACGTTAAACAAATCGGATTACGGCGCCGATATTTGTAGTACATAGAAATATGTTAGTTGATCAACTAAAATATAAAAAACGAATCTAATAAGTTTAGTGTTTGTAGTATGTTTCATAAAAGAATGTTACCTGTTCGATGTTAATTTTTTTTTTCCAATTCAACAGTGATTTTATTATCAACATTGAAGTTTGAGATTACATAACCATCAATTTTGTTCTTCAAATTATAATGAGAAATCTGAATTTTGAACGCCAACTTTTTATCCAAAAGTAATTTCAAAGCAGACGGATAAATCTTCATATTATCCTCCTAAAAATGAAAAAATTAACGCTTATAAAAATAGACAGACAAAAAGTAAAAATTAGTTTTACGTAAATGAAGTTAATATCGATAACCTCATTAAACTTTTGAAGCAACTCTTGTGTGTTTTTTTTTCAGAAGTTTCTTGCGTCACAATCAAATAATGTAAGTAACACCACGCCGGCAAAATCTTGTACTATAATGGTGATTTTGAAACTAAATTGATTCATATAACCAAATTCAATAATATAAAATTAGAAAACTAAATTGAAGATTATAATAATATGTATAAAATAGTTATTGAAAACATTGGAA